TAGTTGATTCTAGTTTAAATCTTCTTGGAAAAGAACAAAAGAAATCGATCCAAAGAGAGAATTGTGAGAAACATATACCCCTAATGCCCTATATACAAGAATACACATGTACTTCAAAAACATTGTCAAAGACAAAATGCCTTTGTCCTGAGTCTGAGTCCATCAAAATCTCCCTTTAGGATAATAATGAGCTAAACTGGTGGGAACTATAATCACATTTTGGAAAAAAAAAGAGGAAAAAAAAATGGTTAGGTGTGGTTTGGAACTTACCGAGCCACACTTTTTCTGACAAACTAACCACATGTCTCTCTTACAGGGCTTCTGTGCGCTCTGCGACATTCGACCGCCACTGATAGCGATCCTGTCGGAGCTCCAACAATCACGCCTCCACGTTTTCTGCCAGCACACTTTTCTTGTGTGTGACATTCAAAATCGAGAAAATGATTTGGGAAGTGAAAACAAACATGGAGGTTATTTATAGTTTTGAGTCAAAGGAAGGAATGAAACTTCAAATTCCTCTCTCTCTCGGTTTGACCTATATTAAACTCAGCTCCTTCCTATGGAACGTGGACTATTTTCAAATTGATTCAATATACCTCATGAGGTTCACTTTGATACATTATTGCCTATCGCGTAGCATGACATTGTCATGCACGATAAGCCTAAAATACCGATGTGCATTGTATTCTAGCCTACAGGAACCCAAGATTAGCAAGGAAAGGGATAAATTTTAGCCCTAAAAAACTAAAAAAATGAAAATTTTTGAGGAAATTTGACAGCTGTTATCCATCGCGTAATCCAGAAGCGCCTCGCATAAATTCTTCGGCGGGCCCCCTGCAGTTTTACACGAAACATGTCGCCGAGCTTCGCACATTCACTTTACTCCAGTCGCTTATTATATGAATCGAACCAATTCAAAACTAATAGACCTTTTTTTTCACGAAACCTGAAGTCCCATAAGGCTTTTTAATATCAAGGTCTATCAAAAAAGTAACTTATGAGGTTTTAACGTTAGGTGATTCTAGCTTTTGACTTAGCGTATCGGTAGAACCACCAAGCAATTTAGATCCATCTAATAATGTTGACCTGATGGATGTATTCTAAAGAACTATCTACCTGTAAGCGTATCCAGAGACAATATTTCAAGAGATATTGCACTACTCCTATATGTTGTTAAAGTTACTTTCGGAAGTTGAGACTCAGATTCGCCTGATGATGACTCGCATGACCAGTATGACCCGCATTCACCGCATGATATCTCTAAAATAAGATTTTAGCAATGCTAATTTTTGGATCAGCATAAAATAGGATGTATATATTGGCACTATGGTAAGAATGGTACTCTACCTAGGCCTGAATGGATTTTTTTTGTCGTGCTATGACAGAACACCATATGCGCGTTCAACTCCCAAATAAAACCAACCAATAAAATCTCTTTTTTAAAGAGAAGTTATGAATATTTTCCCTTAATATTTTTGCATGATCTAGAATGAGTTTCGGATAGTATTTACTGCTAAAAGGCAAATGATGTAAAAGCTTACAAGTTGATCAGAAATGTTGTGTTTAATCACAAAACACTTGGCACACTGAGTTTTTTTTTTAAAAAAAAATGTCCAGTAGCACCAATTATAGAATCGTATCATGTGGAGAAAGTAATACATCCAAAAAGTTCCTGTTCATTCTACCATGAAAATGGTAAATATTACAATGGTACAATTTGAGTCAAATAATCAGACCCTAGGTAGCATTCACCGCTTGAACCGTAAACGTTACACCACGATTCTAGTATTTGCATGCTACTGATGAGTTCGTCGTTGATTACCAGATTCATAATAATGAACCAAAATTTACATTTTTTCCCAGTTTATAAATTGACTAAAAAATCCCTCTTAAAGGGAACCACTTCCCTTTAAAAAAACTATTGATAACGTCAAATATTATGACCAGGTTGACAAGTCTGAGAGGCCTTTATCTGTACAGGGTGATCCCAAAGTAGCGCGCGCCACCCCTTTACTCCTGGAGTTCTTGCCCCTTCTCAAAGTGGTTCCTTTAAAATTTTGAGTGGTCTCAAAATTAATTTCTATTCATCCAATTCATCCAATAGCACTCACAAAATCTCAATTTATCCACAAGTTATAAGGGTAACTTTGGTGATGATGGTAAGAGACTTTTGGATCACCCTGTATATTTTCACGGCTTGAGTTTTTCTTTGCCCTGATGTTAAGTCTAAGCGATGGAGATCTGCCGATGAATAAACGGCTCACAAAAAGATGCTGTAGATTGAGATCTCCTAGAGCGTATTACTTTACCGCGTAGCTTTCTCATTCAGAGGCTACGGGTATATTGCTCCGATGATTTTATCTCCTTTCGTTTTGACAGCTGAGACACACGCGAGGTCTATAATTTTCATAAATGGGAAGATGTAGGAATCATACCTGACGTAACGTGCCATGTCATACGTTAAACACTCGTTTAATACGTCCCTTCACACCAACACACATACAGTGTAAAATGGTGTACGCATGTGCTTACAATGCGGGCGTGCATCGAATCTAAGGGGTGTATTTTACGGGACCTTTCTGAACGCCGCTTTAAACTTTGCAACTTCTATACTCTGTCACAAAATGAATAAGAACTGAAAACGAGTGTATAAGGTGACATACATTTTAGGTTGATTTTAAACGATGCAGTTCCTGATTTAAAAGATTTGAATGTCATCCCTGGTAAAAATGGCAGTAGAATTTGTGTTCCAAAATACCATAGACCTACAATCCGGCTGTAAGATTTCCAATAGCTTCTATAGCCGGCTACACAATTTCTTATAGCCTTTTATAGCCGATGGCGATTAAGCAACAGCCAGGCGATAAAGTGTATGCTAAACGTCACAAATTACGGATACTGGGACTTAGTGAGTTCTTAGACCACTGCTCTCTTTTTGGGCCGTAGTATCTTGATTTATTTTGCGAGGAAAGCTTCGTACTGTTGATGGATGCCTGTCACTCTTAATATGTTGGAGCGCCTTCAGTTTCATATGATACTGTGCAATACCTCTGGTGTGAAATAGTTGCTTCAAGCGCCGGGCACGCTGCGGTGCGGCAGGCGCGCAGCCAGCGCGGAACGCGCATTGGCGCCTGCAAACCTAACAGGGATACTTCACGCGTTGCGCAATGCGTGAAGTATCCCTGTTAGGTTTGTAGGCGCCAGTGCGTCGTCGCTCCGCTTTGTATTAGGCTCTAATATTTAATCTGGCGGAGTCAGCGTTATTCAACGCATGATTTTGAAATGTTTGCACATCCTGTATGAATTATTCTCATTTTAATAGAGGAAAGAAAAATATGTATTAAAGGAAAATATAATGTGTGTTTTGTAAATATTAAGGTGGTTCCGTATCAAACTTAATGATTTCCAAAGCAAACGAATTTCTACACAACTTCTTATAGCCTTTTATACTCGATGGCGAAAAAGCAACAGCCAGGCGATAAAGTGTAAAGCCCGGCTATAGGAACTTTGGCCCGGCTGCATAATTTTTTATAGCTCCGTATAGCCCGGCCGTATGATTTTCTCCGCATTCTACAGCCAGCTTTATGATTTTCTGTAGCCTTCTTTAGCCGGCTATAAGAATTCCTATGGTATTTTGAAACGCAGCTCTTATCGCCAATTTTTACCAGGGATTTAAGTTTAGCTAAGATTGTGCAGAGATTTCTACCTGTAAAATGTCTTCAGTTCCGTAAAATAGTCATCGAGAAACTCAATAGGTGCTGAATGTGCGCGCAGATTTTACGAAATTTGTGTATAAGATGAGAAAAGATATTTGCTAAAAAAGACACTGATAATTTTTCAAACCTTTGGACCAGTTTTACTCAAGTTGCTTTTACTTTTTTCTGCGGATGGGTAGTTTGAAATGACCAAATTCGTGTTACCCATACGCACGGCACTGAACCAGCTGATTTCAGAAAATTTTGATAGAGGCAACGTGTTTTGAGTGATATTTTAATTTTAAAAAACATGCCTTGCGGTATTCGAATTGTGCCGTATTTAACGGAGGAGGAACAGCTTAATTGCATTTTTCAAAAATCATGCAACTATATTTACTGACATTAAAAGATACTAGACATACGTACACGGTTATAAAATTTACACGATATTTTCCCTTTGATTGAAACCAATTTGAGGTAAATTAACAAAAATTCTTGGATATTATTTTAGAGGAAGATGAAGATACACTTTTTCTGAAAACACTGTAATCGAGCTAGTTCCTCTCTGTTACACGAATCGCGTTAAGTAGAAAGGAATCAAGCCACATTTGCTATCACAAAATTCAATAGGGCAGTTTATCTTTTTACATAAAAATGGTTGTGCGGATTTTTGGACAAATTTCAGTAAATGTCCCGCATAGTACGAAGCAATTTCCTCAAAATTTTCTGAGGAATCTGCACGAACGTTCTCTTGTAAAAAATTACCTTGTTCATTTTAGCAATAGCTGATGTGGCTTGGTTCCCCTCTTTTAAACGCGGTCCAAGTGCGATCCAATTATTACCCTGTCCAGAAGACCCCGTCTTCGTAGCGTGGCACACTGATAACACTTAAACGCGTTTTTCCACGGATTTTCATAAAAACTGGAAACTTCACAGACGAAATCCTCGGGTTGGAGGGTTTATTCCGCGATGATGTGCGTCGTCCGAAACCGCAATTCCCAAATCCGAGACCTACTTCGTGGAGGGTTTGCGCTTGACATCGGTGGACGTACGGACGGTCAGCTGGAATGTTAACTCGGTAATTGTATAATGTATTCAGCGGGCCAGGGCACCATTGACTCGTAACTCGTAACAATTCGTTAGGTAATGGATGCTCTGGCCGAGGGTGAGGGTGAGGGTGGGGGAGGGGGCACAAGCGGGAGGAGAGGGAGGATGACGAGGAAGGAGATGTCCCGGTCCCAGACCCGAACAAGTCCGCCGAGTGATAGTAAAAGTGAAGAGAGTGGATCTCCCAGGTACCCCCGGCAAGTGCAAGTACCCGGCCTCATCCCGGGTTTAAATACCTGCATATCATAGATTATCGTCATTGTGCAGTGATACTAGCAGGAAGGCAACATGAGAAGTTTCTTGGTAAGTACCGATGATTCTTCTATGTCCCCGACCAAGTGCGTTCCAAGTCTTCGGTTTTCGTTTACTCCGAACTTCGTTTTTCGATATTTTTCAAGTGTGCTGGGACTTCGTCTTTCGCCCGCCGTGTGCGTTTTGGATTTTTGCGGTTCTCTTCGAAAACTTTGTGCTTTTGTGTTACTATTCGGTAGTATGGGAAGTGAGACGACTCTCGGACAGAAATCAGCGGAATGGAACTTAGCCCCACCGAGCTGGAACCCCAAAAAAGAGGTTTGAAGTTTTATCCCTCGGTGAGACCCATTGTCTGAGAAAGATTTTCTACAAAAATTCCCAACATTCAAGATTTTGTGGCTTAACTTTATGCTTAAAAGTTTCATGCTTTCACTCGAAAGCTTGTGTTGATTTCGGTTCGAGGATATTCCGGGAAACCTCAGTGTCACTTGACGGCTTGGGTTCCTCGATCGATTTTCACTTCTCGTATTATCTGAATCTGTGTTGTTGTCCCCCTTCGTGTTTTGATCCGTTGGATGTTTTCGGATTTTGAGATTTTCATTTCGGTTTTCGGAAAGTGATAGTGACAACTGTCTGATAGACTTTGACTGCGACTTTTCAGCTGCTGACGATTAGTGCTCTTTGGATACGCGCGGTTCTTTCTGGCTTCCTCAACGACTTTACGATTTCGATTTTTTCGCATTGCGTTTCATTCTAGTATGTGATTTTAAAAAATTGAATGAACCTGAAATTTTCAATGAAAATTGAATGATTTCTTTTTTTGCACTAGCCCGCCTCCTTTTTTATCGAACAAGTTTTGTAGTTTGTACTCAGAGCTCGGTTTTTCCTACGCCATAAATATTATTCATTTCATTAAGATTATTCTAAAAAGATTTTTAATAATATTTTAGAAAATTAAACACAAATAAATCTACTGTCAAAAACCAGAGCATAGAAGGCAAAAAGTGGTGACTTTCTTCTTCCGCAAAAAATCAGGATTAATCAAAGCCATTAACTCTTCATCGTTAAAATGTCCTATCTTGTTTCATTACTTAAACGTATACTAACCTCAATCAGCTCTCTTCTCGCTATCAAGCTTATTGCATTAAAAGGTTGAATTAGCTCCTAAGGCTAACTACAAAAAGTAAGCAAGCAATTCCTTCGCCCCCCTTACACTCATCAATTAAAGAATTACTACTTGTAAATTATACAAATCAAATAAACGAAAAAAGTCTAAAAATATTGTCATCCGGAATTTGTAGTTCATTAAAAGCTCCATTAAAACTCATTTACCTAATTTTGAAAATTGTGCATTTAAAATACTTTATAAAATTTTAAAATTGCTTAAAGACATGTCTCCAAAAAATTTATAATTTCTTAGGAACTAATATCAACATATAGGTAGAAATTATTAAAACATTAAATACATTTTAGAAAATCTTACAAATACACACAATTTTAAGGGGAGAATTGAGCTGCACCTCATTTTCTGAACAAACATAAAGTCTGTCATTTCTTTGAAATCAAAACTTTACACTGAGCCCATACTCATATTCAAATCAATTAAGTTAATTGGCCATTTCAATTGATTATCTTCTTGACGCTGCGTTTAAGTCACTGCATTAATCATGCAAAATACTGCAGGGAGGCCACAACGTTACCACTAATTTGAGACCCACTGATAATACCGGTATTATGAAGTTACAAAAATTCGAATCATCCTTTCTTTTCCCTAATTTTGATCGCAATGTTTTTTTTTTCCACCCCAAGCTCCCACCATGTCATCTCCAAATTGCGATGTGTGCAAGAAACTAGTAACATTTTTTTTCTTTTTTTTCTTTTTTTAAACATAAAAAACGACATTGAAAAAAAGATACATTTCCTTTTTGGCGGTTGATATGGTTTGATTAAAATACACCCCCGTATACAATAATTTGTGCTCTAATTCCATTTAAAAATACAGCATTTTTCAATCTAAGAAGTAAATTTTATCTGATTGAAAAAAATTGACAAGCTTCTTTATTTGTGATAGTCAAGTAGAAGCAAGGTTTTAGAACTTGAAAATATTAAAGTGGAATAGCAATACCAGAGCCTAAAATAAATAAGTGTGTAGGAGTCATTTGGCAGAAAGAACAATCAAAAATTTCAAAAATTCACATTTAAAGCATTTCATAGTTAGAAAAATTAGTTGCGAATTTGAAAAAAAAAAAAAAAAAAAAAAAAAAAAAAAACTTAATAAATTTTGCCGGCGCTGCTGTATTGCCAGCTGTATAGGGTCAGCTGGACCGAGTTTATAAGAAACGCACTAATTTGCATCAATTTTGAACCGAAAAAAGGAGGTTTGTGCAGTTTTTTCCTCCATGAAACTCGATTTTAGAGACAAGTAATAACGACCATGTTTATGTTCAAAATATTTTCTCCCTGCTTTAAATTTTTGACAGAGGAGAAAAAGTTGCAACTAGTTGAATGTAAAACTACTCCCAACTTATCCCCCCTCCAAATATGACTATTGGTGCGTCTTTTTCAAACTCAATCCATTTATTCCAAAAACTCATAACATAATTTATGACACAAGTTCTTACTTAAAAAATTGACCCGATATTCTTGAGGGTATATATTAGAGAGCGTTCAGTTTCTAAAACTGAAAATGTATATTTTTGAATTTTTCCGCTGCAATTAGCAATTTTATATTCTTCAATTTAAAAGTTTTTTGTCTGTCTGCATCAATTCCTAATCAAGGGACCGAAAAAAACCTAAAACCAAGTACGGGTCTCTCTTTAGAAATATCGGTTCAGTTTCCCGCACTGGGAAAAAAAAAAAACACATTGGATCTAGAGTCCGGACTCTTAAAAACATCGACAAAAAAAATACTCTTGGTTCAATCGGTTTTTAGCTTAAGTCAAGAACCAAGCCTCTTAATTTGAGCGGATTTCGTTTTGATTTACGCAAAAATCTGATTTAATGAAGAGTATTTATTCTTGTTAATGTTTTCAAGAGTCTGGACTCTAGAACCAATGTGTTTTTTTTCCAGTGCCCGAATCTCATCCAATTCAAAAACAATAGTCGAATGTTCCTCCTCTCTGCTGTGGCCTCCCACCGAGTGTTTGCTTACGTAAGGCGGGCGGTGTCGTCTTATTGGCATGTTAGCTTGTTAGACTTTTTGTCCATTTTCTGGCTTCTTAGTCGGGTGCGTTACTTTCACTGACCCCTCTTCCCCTGGGCGGCGCGTTCCCGCTTAAATTAAGTCGCCGGGAAGCGAAACCGCGCGCGCGGCCACGGCTCAAAGCCACAGGTGCGGTCACCGGTCGGATCGGGACACCGGCCCGGCCTTCCTTGGCAGTTCATTAGGGGACGAATTGAGATTCATCAATGGTAAACGACCGCCGTTGCCGTTTTCCCAACGGATCCATATCTTTCTTCTTGGAAAAATGAGCTTTTGTGCTAAAGTTGGCATCCTTAAGAAGGTACACTGGAAAAAAAACACATTGGATCTAGAGTCCAGACTCTTGAAAACATTGACAAGAAAAAATACTCTTGATTCAATCGGATTTTTGCTTAAATCGAAAGTAAATCCGCTCAAATTGAGAGGCTTGGTTCTTGATCTAAGCGAAAGTCCGATTGAATCAAGAGTATTTTTTCTTGTCGATGTTTTTAAGAGTCTGGACTCTAGATCCAATGTGTTTTTTTTTCTAGTGTATAATAGTGCTCCTCACGTAAATTTTGTAGATTTACCTCGGTAATCTATAGGCTTAGAGGAAAAGGGTTCCGAGATATAAAAAAATGGTGAATTATCGGGTCCGCTTTAAATTTTTGCCGAAAAACGGATCGAGTACGCACGGAAAAAAGGGGTGGGGTTTATGACCCATGTTTGGCTTTTTTAAGCAATTGTGTACTTAGTACCCCAATAAATTAGGTTACTAACCCAAATGTTGCGGTACTTCCCCAAGTTCCCCAAATTGTTGTTGCGGCACTAATACAATCGATTGAAAATGCCCAAATCATCCAACAAATTGGGGTTGTACCACAAGTTTTTAGAATAGAATCCATTTTGAAAATTATGGAAAATGCTGGAAGTACACAAACGCAAAAATTGACTTTTCGATTTGACCAATCGAATGCAATACCTCACGTCTCTATACATTGCGCTTCATTTTAGGAAACTCATAGAAGAGTCCCTCAGTTCTTTTCCCTTAATCTTGTTTAAGGTTACGGTTTACGGAATCGTCTCATACCACTATTGTGACTCCTGAGGATCCGCATTTGCCTATCATGTAAAATGAAGGAGAAGCACCGTCGATTCATAGATCAATACAACTGATTTAGCTCTTATCAGCATCGTTTTTTCCGCTTGACAATTCTGAGAGCCCCACCATATTTTTGTCCAGGGGCGCGTCCCTGGCTCTTCACAAATGTTATAGACCAGAATCGCAGTGTGCGAAAAACGACCTCTTTGTGAATTTCAGTCGGGGAAAGCAGGAGAGGGGGGGGGGGCTAGGTGTCGATGTCACCTCTCGAGATGATCCTTGAGCCAATTCCTTGACAAAGATCAGTTCGCCGTTGACTCGGACGATGCAGCGCAATTAACGCTGTCTACGCCGAAGCCCCCCTTTTTTGTCTACGGATCGCGATTATGCTGATGGGGCCCCCTGCCCCTGCCCCCCTCCCGGGCTGCCACCCGCAATTACGGCAACTCTTGCGGTCCCTTTTGTTTCTCCCGTCTCGCCACGAATTCATATTCAAATGAACCCTAAACATTTCGACCGCTGACTCAAAGCTGCGTTGCCGTCGGCGGGAAAGAGATACGAGACGCTTGGTGATGCGAGAGCTCCGCAATGCCAACAAAGGTGAGAACTCACTCCTGTAAAGTCTTGAAGATAGTTTTTGAAAATTGATAGTTTCGGAAATATCCCAACATCAACGACTGTTGAGGCAATTTGTTAGGAAAAAAAATTGTAAAATGTAAATTCTAAGAAGAGCTCTTAAAAAGGATTAAACTCTTAGAATGTTTGCTT